TCTTCTTCTGAATCAAAATCAATTTCCTAAAACATACCACTTTGAATTGAACTCCAGAGACATGTTTTTATATCTTTTATTTGCTTTCAATAGTAGAAAACATAGAGTTCTCCCTTCGCTATCTTTTTTTTTTTTTTTTTTTTTGAGGCAGTCTCTTTATGTTGCACAGGCTGGCCTTGAACTTCCTATCTTCCTGCCTCAGCCTCTGGAGTAGCTGGGATTACAGGCATGCACTACCATGTCTTAATTTCTTCTTATTTTTAACTCTGTTTGGAAGGAATCAAGTCAGAAGAGATGGAAAGTGGGTCTCTATCAGATTCCCTATAGAATGGATGACTGAGCCAATACCACACTGGTTAGCATCTTTTGTCCCTGCAGGGAGACTGCAAACAGTAATCACACACAGGATAAGTGGCTTAAAACGAATCGATCAGTTTTGAAAATTAGGTATAAAAAATAAAAAGAAATCCAGGATTTTTGAACTGTTTGTGACTTAAGAGGCTATCACCAAGTGAGTCACTTTGGGTGTTTTTAGCTTGGGTCCCACATTCCTCTTCTGAAATTAACTACTGTGATCCTTTTCATCACTATAAGGATCTTGCCCTAGAGTGAAGAGCCCCTCAATGCTCCCCTGTGAATAGGCTGGACCCTTGGATAACAGTACCCGGAGGGCTCCTGGAAGATGACTGACGCCTGACAACTTAGGTTGGCTTCTGTGTAACTATTTCTTTTTCCTTTTTATTCCTCTTAAAATGAAAACACTGAGCTTTTCTTTTGATATGTTCTACATTTATGAGAGAAGAGTAATGTAGTTAATAGGAAGAGCATGGCCCTTGGATTCAGACAACACGGATACTCAAATCTCAGCTTCCACACCTAGTAATTGTGTACACTTAACTCTTGGCACCTCAGTATCCTTGTAAAAGCTACTTYGTAGAGCTGCTGTGAACATTAACATACATAACAGTCACTCAAGTACAGCTATTAATATCAATTATTCTCACCTACAGGAATATGCAAGTTCCTTGGAAACATGCATTTTTTGGAGGGTGATAAAGGATGAGGCATTATATTTTAATTATTTTTTTTGTTGTTGTTTTTTCTTCAGTCTGTGTTTCACATATATATGTCGGGCATCATTTCAAGTACTTTGGTAACATTAATGAGTAAAATAGATAAAAATTTATACCCCATGTGTGCCGTACATTATTGTTGTGGGTACGACTGGATGCTGTTAAAGGCTCTGAAGAAATTAAGAGAGCTAAGAGGAACAGGAGGTTGGCAACAGGCTGTGATTGTGAATTGGAATTTGGGGGTAGGCCTTGTTGTGAACATGACCTTGGTTTTATATCCTCAGAGGCTTTTTAAAACTACCTTTCAGGATGGTGAATGGGAGGGAGGGAGATGGAAGTGAGGAGTAGGAACCTGCTGATTTGTGGGAGAGCATGAGTATTCCCTTTGGTGTAACATGTCAAAATGCAAACTCAGAAGAGTGAAGTTTTCCAGATGGCCTGATTTTATTTTGTTTAATTTGGGCAAATATCTTCCTGTGATGTTTTGTACGTATCCTGCTTTCTGCAACAATGGCTACTGAGTACAGTCTACCTGGTCTGTGACTACTAGAGGAGATCATAACCGTGATGTATGTCTGTTATTGGACTGTCACCAAGCAAGTCCATTGGGACCAGCAGTGATGTTTTCAGCTATTTGCCCTGTGCAGGGGCCCGAGCCTGCAGTCACTGTGAATGCTACCCATATGTGGCTGTTTAAATGTAAATAGACATTAATTACAATGAAGTGACATTTGAAAGTCCCATTCTCAATCATACCAGTCACATTTCCTGTGCTCAATAGCCATAAGTAGCTAGAGACTACTGTGTTAGATAGCGCTGATGTAAAACATTTCCATCACTGTGGAACGTTCTGTTAGTATTTGTTGCTTTGCATGTTTCCCTCTCTGACTTGGGTTTTTTGTGGTGCTGCTGTCAGTTTTCAGACCAATCTTACCCTTTTCATTTGTTGTTTCTCATAGATTTTAGGATTAAATGCCAGATGTAGAATATTGAGCTAAGGAAGAGTACCTAGGCTTTAAGGGAGATTAGAAGAACTACCTTATGTTCAGGAACCTGGATTTTATTCTTGGGATTTATATTGGTATCAGGATTACCCAGTGCTTCTTTTGCTTGGTTATTGTGTTGCAGCTTTACTCTGGGTGGTAAGAGAGTCAGACTGATGAGTTACTATGGGAATGCTGTTGGTCCAGTCAATGATCCCTTATTTGGAGCCATGACATTCAAGGAATGTTTAATGCCCAAATGTCTACCCACACGCCCAGAACTGTGTTAGTCCCTGGAGATACAAACGAGAATGAACTTGGCCCCAAAGCCTGAGGAATTCACAGTTTAGGCAGTAAAGAGAGCCGCATATACAATTTCATTTGTCTTGTGCCCAACTATTCTGAGCACTCCTAAAAATCTGGAGGAGGGTGGTGTATGATTCAGCCTTCCCAGGGACAGGAGTGAGGGGATAGGAAAGGAAGCAGGAAGCTGAAAAATGCCCCCTAAAGAAATGATTCTTAAATGGAAGCTTGAGGGAGGAATTGGTGTTGGTAACATGAAGATGCTGAGAGAGGAACAGGGCACAGTGGCGCATGTCTGTAATCCCAGTGGATTGGGAGGCTGTGAGGCAGGAAGATCGTGAGTTCAAAGTCAACCTCAACAAAAGCSAGGTGCTAAGCAACTCAGTGAGACCCTGTCTCTAAATAAAATACAAAATAGGGCTGGGGTTGTGGTTCAGTGGTCTAATGCCCCTGAGTTCAATCCCTAGTACCCAAAAGAAAAAAAAAATAAGATGTTGAGAGAATGGGGTCAATAGACACAATGTACCATAGCATGAAAAAAAAACCCAAGAAGTGGAATAACAGAGGATAAGAGTGAGAACTTGTAGGATTAGGATTGATGAAGCTTAAAATAAACAGGAACGAGTGTCTGTAGAGGTAGGTTGATAGATGAGTTTCATCAGGGAGAGCGACAGAGTGATGGTTCTGTTGGCAGATCCGGCTTCTCAGTAATTCAGGTAGTACATTCGGGTAACCGTGTAGGTTACGTTTTGGGGGAACTGGGCTGGAAGTTGGAATGCCAGTGGTGTGAGAGGGCTGGGCTTGTAAGAATCCAAAAGGAGATAATGAGGGCCTGAGGTCAGAGAGTGTAACAGGTTGGWCCAGGGGACATGGATTTGGTTGATACTAATTTTTAAAGGTAAAATTATTAGTATTTTAAGGATTGATTTTATTATTGGGAATGAAGGAGACAGGAATAAGAGATGACTCTCAGCTTTCAGGGAAACAGTTTAATTCAAACTCTTCTCCCAAGTTCATTGTGACAGGCTTTGACCTGTAGTTGCTACTAGTGATTTGCATTAACAACTGTGCTGTCTAGGTTACCTTTTGGCTCTCTTTTGTCAAGATTTGAGTGAAGTACCACCCTTGTATGACTTTAATTTTGAAATTTTATAGAAGTTTGGCTTCATTTTTAGCGGCTCTAATTTAGACACAAAATTACCCCATTTGCTGGGACATCCCTTGGGTGGACCATTGAACCTGTTATTCATTAGGAGCAGCTGAAAACCATCAGCAAAATTCCTGCACTATGCCAACAATAACACCAGTCAAATTTCAAGGTAACTCTAGGTTTCAGAAAATTATGAATCTCATAATCTGTCTAGCTGACTCCTTATTTGTATTTTTATGCAGATTTGTCACATAAAGAGCTGGAGGTTTCCTTATTTTCCATATTTGTACACTGCTTTTCTTAGATCATAAATTAAATTCTGAGTGTTGACAGAGACATTCTTATAGATTTGTAGCTAATCATTTTAAAGTAAATGTACAAAACCAGGCCGGAAGTAGGAGAGGAGCCTGCCTAAAGGGACCATTATAATGGAGCCTGTATAGAATTCTCCAGTACCTGCAATGCATTTTAAAAGGATTTTCCAACCGGCAGTTAGCATTTTAATGACATCTATAGTTAACCATAAGTTAAGCTTTCAAAAGAAAAAGAAAATAAAGAAATATAGTTCTCTAGTTTGGATTTTTAAGGAAAAATGAAAAATATATGGTGATACTTCACATGTTAGCAATGTATTTCTTGACTGCCTGGTTAAAGCCACAAATGGTAGTTGTTTACCACTTTCTTTTATATGGTTTTATTTAACCACTGCATCTGGCCTTTGCTACTAAATATTTTTTCTTTGTCATTCTAACTGCTCTATTCAGTAGGCTYTTTGGTGATGCTCTTTGGGCACACATCTCCCCAAGTTAACAGGACAATTATACTACATGGTGGAGAGTTTTATTTGAAGACTAGTAACGTGTTTGGTGATGAATGAGGACTGTAAAATGAGAAGCATGGGAAGTTTCCAGATCCTTTAAGAATGTTTTTATACAAAAGAGGAAAGAAAACAAGCTCTCTATAATTCTTAGGAGAAGTCACATTAACCATTTGTTAAAAGTTGGATTTACAAGGAACATTGGCTTCTTAAGAGTGTTCCTCACAAACTGCCATCTTTTGCATGATGTCATTGAAGGTTGTTTGGCAACATATCAAAATAGTTTTATGAAAAGATGAATATGTGTTTCATTAATCCTTAGAGGAATTTTCTAAAATGCCTTTTTGAAAATAAATAATTAGTGTCATTCGGTGAAGTGCATGACTTCTTAGGGTGGGAAAGAAGAAGAAGAAAATAAAAGGGGCTATTTTTTTCAAGCAATTAGTGATTTAGTACCAGCTGGTTAAGTGAGGTGAAAAACCCTGAGTTGTATGTTGTATTATTTTGAATGCTAACCTCATAATCTTTCTCCCATGGTAAATGGCTCTAAACTTTGATCTTCTCAAACAAGTTTGCCAGATGTAGGGGACAAAGCATGTGTGACCTTTTGTGCACCATTTCCACCTGGCTGATGGGAAACCATAAGTTAATTCTCATTTGACTTTTATTTCTAGGCATTACAGCAGAAGTTCTGGTGGTGACCTCTTTCGCTGAACTGCAGAGAAGGGCCCCAGAAGCAAGAGGGAAGATTGTTGTTTATAACCAACCTTATGTCAGCTATGCCATGACAGTGGAATACCGAGTCCGGGGGGCCGTGGAGGCTGCCAAGGTGGGAGCTTTGGCATCCCTTATCCGATCAGTGGCGACCTTCTCCATCTACAGGTTGGTTATGATATTTGTTTGGAAACTTTAAAAAATCTTTTCCATGAAAGAGAAGCCCTTACRAAAATAAGACAAAGCCATTCAAATGAAAATACTGATCATGCATGGAATTCCCCCACCCCCTATTCCACATTTGGTCATTTGTTGGCAATATCTTTTGGGGGCCTTTTCAGGATTCCAAGCTTCATTTATGCATTCCTTTAAAAAGCTTTCCACATCCACAGGCATCCTTTAACATTCCTTATATAACGAATACACTGTGTATTTTCACTGGAGGGTGGGTTGACTTCACGTCTGTGTTTCATCAGCATTCCTAATGACTTCAGAGGAAGCCAGGCTGCTCTCCACGTTGCTAGAGGAGTGAAATAAAAATAGAGTGGGTAACATGGTGGGGGCCAATTCTGGGGTAATGGAACAAGCTGGGGAACTAGAGGAACCTGGCTCTGCTACTGAACAACTGTATGAACAACTTCAGTGTTTCTTAGACTTCTCTGAGCCTCACAATTCTCTGTTGACAAATGATGATGAAGAAGAAATGTGTGAAATTMTTTTAAGATTAAATTGAGCAAACTTATAAAAGATAATTGATTATCTTTACAGGTCTATAAAAATATTTGGTGGCATTATTTGAAAACAATGTAAGACTTTTCTTCTTTATTACCCTGGTTTTTATAATCTTAGGAGACTAACTCCTCTTAGCCTGCTTTTTTTTTTTAATGTTGTCAAGAATAGCCTTAAATTATTGTATTCAAGGATTCTCCTGCCTTAGCCTCCCAAGTAGATGGGACTACAAGCTTGTGCCACTGTGTTGGGTCAAGTGTTTCAATAATTCTCAATCCCAGGATGCAATTCAGTATTGCAATGGATAAAAGGTCTAAAACTTGACCTGTAGACATTTGGCCTAGTTTAATAGTTACATGTAGTTGTGTCACACATTAAGGATAGATATTTGAGTAACATAGATAAAAGAAATGCCATTTTAGTGTTGTAGCCTGGCCCATTTTTTTAAAAAAATGCACAAATAATTGCAGATGGTGTTTATTTGAGTTTCAGGACTGGATTTTTAGTATCTATGTGTTAGTATGTAAGTTCATTCTGCACAATTGCTGTTTGGAGATTAAGACACAGCTGTTTGACCTTAATTAGCGTCCTATACTCTTGAAAATAAAATAACTGAGGAATAGATGTCAGCAACTAGTGAGAGAGGAATGGTACAAAAGTGCAGAGAAAAGGAAAGAGTTTAAAAAAAACAGGGATTATATGTCTTCCCAGGGGAGGAAGAAGACAGGGCATGTTAAAACCACTTGTTAAGAGTTTTATGAGAGAAAACCTAGTTATACTGGTGCTATAGTGCTAAAAATAATATTCTTTGTAAAGTCTTTAATGGATTCATGACTAGTGAAAAGTAATTGGGTCATATTCTTTTGGATGGTTCATCTTCCCAGGAGGGAAATCCTAAAAAGGCTAGTTTACTTCCCAGAATATCTCTGTCACCCTTGGAATAACACACTAAGCAAGCTATGGCCATTCACCATGATTTCATTGGTCATGAGAATGAAATTATGGAGCTAGTTTGTTGCTTTGTGAAACTGGGAGATTGCCAGAAATCTTTATTTAAGGACTACTACTCATAAGACTAATAAATTCTCAGATGACTTAATATACAGTGATCTGCCAGGGTTCATTGGCATATTATTTTTTTTCTGGCATAGTGAAGACATCTGAAAAACCAAGGATACAGCATGAGTAGGACTTGTCCAGCATGAGACTTCAAAATGTTATCCTCTAAGGCTTGGGGTCAGTAATTTGTTGTATGGATAAAATGAACATWTTCTTATACTTCTAAATCTAGACTGATGGTAACTTTTCTCTGATTTTATAGTCAACCATACTTCATTGGATTCAACTTTAAAACTCCATTCTCTGACCATTTGTAAATGTGTAATGACACTGGCCTTTACATAATATCTTAAAATCTTTCACATAGGTCATATTATTTATTGTGATTACATCCTGAAGGGTCATGCAGATGAAGCATTATCCCTATGTAAAAGTTTAGAGAATTAGACATATTAACTTGTTTACATCTTACGTCCTGAAAACTAAAAACTAAAACGAAATAGGCTTCCTTTGTCCACTTCTAGCTTATTGTTTTTAGCACCAAGTTTCTTTAGAGTGTTCTGCATTCCTATCTCCAGGTCCTCACTCCCCTACACTCTGCAGACTGTTTCAATGTGGCTTTTCCCAGTACCGAAATGGAACTTCTTAAGGTCACAAATAACAACCTAGTTATCAAATATAATGGACTTCTCAAGCCACCATCTTATGGCACCTCTCTGAAGCACGTGTCACTATTGACTTCTTTTTAAATATTTCTTTTCTTTGGCTTTTATGACTTCTTTTTCATATTCATTTTCTTTGTCTGCTCTCTCACTCCTCTGTTCCTATTTCTCTGTCTTCTGACTCTGACTGTTCTACATGAGCATTACCATCACATTTGTGGCTTCAATCACCTTTATGCTTTGGCAATTTCCAAGTCCACCTCTCCCATCTGGACCACTGCCACATTGCCWGTTGCCTACGGGTTCTTCTTTTAGATGTCCTATGGATATCTTGGTTCTAGCTTTTTAAAAATTTAATTCATCCTTTCACATTTTTCTTCTGCATTTTCTATCTCAGTAAAAATAACCTSTGTCTTCTAACTCACGCAGCCCTTGATTACGCTTGTTTTCTTCCCTTGTCCCTCATTTCTAGAAGTTACTAAGTCTCTTGGTTCTGCTCTGTATCAATCATTTTAATACATACAGACTGAGCAGCTCCGTTTCCCAGCCTCACTCCATATTCCAGTCACTGGGAGCCACTAACATTTTCCCTAACATTTTCCCCATGAGCTATGTTTCCCAGGGTTTCATGACAGCCTGTGCTTTCTTCTCTGCTAYCCTCCTTCCCTTCCTCACTGTCACACTCCATTCCTCAAGATTTATCTTAGCGGCTCTTCTTCAGGCAAGTGCTCTCTGATATCCAAATGTAGCCCAGGTGAGCCACCTCTTTATGKTATTCCCATGCCATCCCATATATAGTCTGTATCACAATGTTTTGAAGATAGTTTGGGCTCATACTTTGGTTGAATAGACTAATGGTTGTAACAAACAACTTCACATCTCAGTAACCTAACATACCAGAGGTCTCTTTCTTGCTTACATAATAGTGCCAAAGGAGTGTTCAGCAGGTGGACATTTGTTCCTTTCCATCTGTGACTCCACATCTCTGAGATCTCAGAATCCTCTGTATCCAGCAGAAAAAGGGGATATTGAGAGAAAGTCATTCACTAACCAGGAGGGTTTTTCATGGTCATTCCTATTCTGGACTGGATATAACATACTTCTGCTCATTTTCTGCTGGTCAGAATGCCGTTATATGGAGGCTGTGCACTTTGGCTTATCTTTATGCTCAGGGTATAAGGAGAGTAAGTTTGGTGAAAAACTSTCCAGTCTGCCCTGACTTCCTGACTACATACTAGACTAACTAGACTCTCAGTTTCAGAAAGATATTGATTTCGTGTGTGTGGGTGTGTGAGTGGGTGTGTACTTTTTCTTTACTTCTGTGTTCCTATCATCCAGTACAATGTTTGATACATAGCATTCTGGAAATATCTATTGAAGGAATAAACTTGTCTATGTTTATATAGTAAATTATGTGACAAACAAATTATGTTAGTTGTGTTATTCATTGCTGTGACCAAAATATGTGTCAAGAACAACTTAGAGGAAGAAATGTTTATTTTAGGGTTTACGGTTCAGAGGTCTCAGTCCATGGTCCCCTAATACCATTGCTTTGGACCTCAAGTGAGGCAGAATTTCATGGTGGAAGGGCATGGAAGAAAGCTGTTCAGTTCATGGCATCTGATGAGAGGAAAAGCCAGGGACAAATATAACCCAAGGCCACATCCCACCTGCCTACAATTACTACCCATTAGTCCATTCAAATTAATAATCTATCAAATGGATTAATACATAGATGAGGTTTCAGCTCTCATAATTCAATATTTTTACCTCTGAACATTGATACATTGCCTAACAATTGAGCTCTATCAGGGATATTTTTTAGATCCAAACCATAACACTGGGTGACCCAATTCCTAGTGATCTCTGACCAAAATATATAACCTCTATAGTAAGCTTTAAAATGACTTGATCTTTTAGGGAACTTTGTATTTGGAAGAAAATGTCAGGTACCCAAAACACTAGATTTTTAATATATATTCTACCAAAACTTTAATGAATAATGATGTTTTCAGTTGCTAACTTAAAAAAAAATAGTTCCTTTCTCCCTGGTAAGATTTTCACCCTTAACTATGGGAATGGGCAATATTAGATTCTATCTAGGAATACTGTAGAAGTCAGCAATGCTAAAGAACAGAATACTTCAGACACTAGAAAGGCAATATGTTAATCAATGGAAGGGTAACTGATGTGATACAGCAATCTGTATACGGGGTAAAATTGGGAGTTCATAACCCACTTGAATCAAACTGTGAAATATGATGTATTAAGAACTATGTAATSTTTTGAACGACCAACAATAAAAAAAAAAAACAAATTAATGAAACAAGGTAACAAAAAAAAAAAAACAGAATATATATTGTAATTTGTTGCTGCTTATCTTCAGAGTTAAAGAATCCCTAGAGGAAGTTCCATATGACACTTTTCAGTGCAGTCACCAGTGTCATGGGCCATTTTGGAAGTAGAATAGTCACATGGCCTCATGACAGATTCCTCCAGAGAAAGCTCATTACTTGTTGCCAGCAGCGTCTCCAGGTTATTCTCTTTGTTTCTCTGGACTGCCTTTATTAGTGGTTCTGTGCTCCGGCTTCAAAGAGAAGACTTTTCCTTTATTGATGTTTTTATAATAACAACCTGACCTTTCATTCACCATTGACCATCAATTCATTAGCACTTTTTATGAATGTAAAACACCTCTTCTCTTTGTAATGGGAAAAT